AAAAACAAAAATCTTACTGACCCCAAACAGTGTAGGCAGTGAGGCAACTCTCTGGGTTTTAAAACAGACTTTTAAAGGTGTCATATGACGCGATTTCATGTTTTCCTATGTCTTTGGAGTGTTACAAGCTGTTCGTGTATATATAAGATTCGTAAAGTTGCAAAGATTAAGGTCTCAAAAGTTACAACCTATCCACGCCTAAAACGCCTCATTCTAACATGCCCCCACAAATCTACGTCACTGTGTGGTAAGATTTGCATAACACCGCCCCAAACGTATACGCAAAAGAAAGAAGGCGTAACTTTTATTCTCGCTGTAGTATTGTTGCTGTCGCCACCATGGAAGCTGATATTCCAAATATGGTAAGGGGCGTAACATTTCCGTCACACGCTTCAGGTATTCGGCCAATCACAATGCACTGGATAGCTGGCCAATCAGAGCACACCTCGCTTTTCAGAGCTTTGTAAAAATATATGCGCTTCAGAAAGGCGGGGCAGATAGGAGTAATGATAATGTACGGTATGTGGAAAATAATTAGTGCTGTCAAACGTACAGCCATTCAACCCAACAGATGGGGAAACAAAATTAAGCACACACATAACTCTACAGCGCAAGCCAAGGGATGGAGCAAACTGAACAAACGCAGTTTACATGAACACAAAGTGATAAGACTTTACACTGAAGGTCAAAAATTTAATATAGAAAGGGAGGCATTTCAAAACAAAGAGCGCTAACTTGCTGTACTTCCTATGTGGGCAGCTGTCTACATAAACAGCATTCAAACCAATAAGAGCTCATAAGCAAGTCATAACTTCAATAAAAGTATTCATTATAAAAACAAAAATCTTACTGACCCCAAACAGTGTAGGCAGTGAGGCAACTCTCTGGGTTTTAAAACAGACTTTTAAAGGTGTCATATGACGCGATTTCATGTTTTCCTATGTCTTTGGAGTGTTACAAGCTGTTCGTGCATATATAAGATTCGTAAAGTTGCAAAGATTAAGGTCTCAAAAGTTACAACCTATCCACGCCTAAAACGCCTCATTCTAACATGCCCCCACAAATCTACGTCACTGTGTGGTAAGATTTGCATAACACCGCCCAAACGTATACGCAAAAGAAAGAAGGCGTAACTTTTATTCTCGCTGTAGTATTGTTGCTGTCGCCACCATGGAAGCTGATATTCCAAATATGGTAAGGGGCGTAACATTTCCGTCACACGCTTCAGGTATTCGGCCAATCACAATGCACTGGATAGCTGGCCAATCAGAGCACACCTCGCTTTTCAGAGCTTTGTAAAAATATATGCGCTTCAGAAAGGCGGGGCAGATAGGAGTAATGATAATGTACGGTATGTGGAAAATAATTAGTGCTGTCAAACGATTAATCGCAATTAATCACATCCAAAATAAAAGTTTTTGTTTACGTAATATATATGTATGTACTGTGTATATTTATTATGTATATATAAATACAAACACATACATTTATATATATATATATATATATATATATATACGTATATATTTATATATAATATAAATTACACTACACAATTATAAATTACACAATTATATAAATACAGTATATACACAAGTAAATATTTACTAAATATATACTGTATATGTGTGTATTTATATATACATAATAAATGTACACAGTACACACATATATTATGTAAACAATTTTTTTTATTTTGGATGCAATTAATCGAGATTAATCGTTTGACAGCACTAAAAATAATGTGTTTTTTTAACCTTAAACTGCGTAAACACGTTGCATTACACCAAATACACAAAGTGTTCTTTTTAGCAACGTCATATGACCTCTTAAAAGGCACAATATGTAATTTTCACCGCTAAAGGGCGCGTATTCAAAATAAACAAAAACAAAGGCGTAGTTTGATGACGCCGTGACTGAGTGTGGAATCATGGGAGTTGTCATCTTCATCCCCACAGCCGAAGCAATCCGACGGGACTCGGGCAGAAATCATGTTCATGGATGAGCTAATGATTTATTAACGTAGTAGTATGAAGCAGAGTGAGGTTGAAAGCCGTCAAAGCGAAACGAGGTCGCTGAACAAGCGTGACACACGGCTTGAAAGCAGCAGAGCTTTTATTATGCCACAGTCGACCGCTTCCGCTCCTTCCAGTCGTGAGTATGTGTGGTAAAGCAGCACTGATTTATCATACTAGATACATTTGAAAGTTCTGTTATAATGCTACTCTGTGCGGTCGTCACCGGTCTATTAAAACGCACAACATATTAAAGCGTCTTTGGTGTTTCCATGTTTTCTACAAAACAAAACCGGAAATCAAGGAGTTATGACGTCATTGGCAGGCGACACAATGACACTACGGACACGGTCCGTGTCACTAGTTAAAATTGCTTATTTCTCTGGATTTAAACATTCTTCGAAACATTTGGGATAATGCAAGTACACAAGTCAGCAAAATATATAACACTGTTCTAGTGGTTTTTGGATATTTTAATAAAACAATCTTACATATTGTGCCTTTAATGTGCACAGGCCTTGTAGAAGGTGATGGAGAGATGCTGATGCACTTGATCCCTTTATTAAAGCTTCTCTATAAGCGGTGCACCAGTATCCCCTCAAGCCTTCTCTACACTATTATTACCACAGCCTCCCACAAAGTCCTGAGAGACCAAAACACCAGCATCCATTTTCAGCCGAGCAATGCGGAGATTAAGGCTAAGGCCGAGTTTGTTTTTCCGTGAGGCATGGCAGGCGTTACTGGTCCTCAAGGTTGTTGCTTAAGGGTTTTAGGGGGCTAGCATGAACCCAGCTGTTAAAGTCGTCTTACAAACAAACAGAACACCGCCAAAACATAAAACACATGCAAATCAACCTGCACTGATTACGAAACAGACAAGTGTAGTCCAATTACAAAATGAATGACTCTTATGAGTCAGTTTTTATTGAATCAAAGACGTTTTGCACAACCAGTATAGTCTGATCCCCAAACGAATAACCGTTGAGTCTGTTCTCTTAAGTGAATCAAAAACATAAAGCGCAGCCAGTGTAGTCTGACTCCCAAATGAATGACACTTATGAATCTGTTCTGTGAATAAAAAGCATATAGCACAGTCGGTGTAGTCCGATTCCTAAACGATTGACTCTTATGAGCCAGTTCTTTTAAGTGAATCAAAAACATACAGTGCCAACCACTGTAGTCAACAGATTACCAAACATATATAACTCTTCTTAGTTAGAATGAAACGTATAACACAGTGTAGTCCGACTGCCAAATAAATGACTCATTTGTGCTGGTTCATTTTAGTGAATCAGAATAATGTAGCACAGCCAGTGTAGTCAGATAACTGAACAAATGGCTCTTCAGGTCAGTTCTTTGTAGTTACTGACATCAACAAATGATGAGTTTTGTCAAGGGTATTTCATACAAATAAATGAATGTTACCAGATTTTTCATTTATTTGTTCACTATTGTTGTTTCAGATATATTATAGTGCAATGATTGGATTGCATTTATGCCACCACATCAAAGACTGTAAAGTCATTAAAAATCCTTTGTATGCAAAAAAATTATAATATATACAGTATATATATATATTGTATTCATTAATAAAATCTAATTTAGTAGTAGAATATTTTTTTATCCATCTATCCTTAAAGTACTAAAAGAATTGTTAAGAAACTGGAATCATGAAGAGGAATTGAAAACATAAAATTCTTCGCAATTCCCATCCAGGCACCAAACATATTTTTTTTCTCTCCCATTATTCATTTTTAACACAGACGTCCTTCCAAAAACGAAACAAGTCCATAAAAGTTACAAAGAAAGCTGGAGTAATGCATCACATGCATGTTTCTGTCAGTCGGCGTGTGCATACAAATATGCGACCTATGCGTGAGATTTCAGAATCTCGGCCAAGACATGGGCCCACCTCAGGCCAAAGTCAAGATACTGCACAGACTCCTAATCAAGTCAACCAAGAGACTCACAAACACCATCACACGTAGACAGCAGCAGCCTCCAGCAAGCTCTATATCACTGTACTACAGCACAGCGTTGAGGGGCTGCCCTACATTCCACACCAGAAAATATGCACATGGCCGTTGAGGTGCGTATGAATGAAGGTCTAGAAAACTAAACACTTCAGTTTGGAGAGAAAATAATACAGCTTGTGTGCTTCTTAACATCATCTGTGGGATCAAAGATGTTTCTTCAGATATATAATGTTGACATTTTAACACTGCAGAAGTGTGTTCACACAGATAAATCTGAATATGGGAAGTATGTCATAGTTACTTAACACTCTCCAAAGCGCCTTCTTTCTCAAATCATATTTGGATTAGAAGAGAGCTGCTGCCATCTAGTGCTGCATTGAAGCTCCAGCAGAACATTAAGCCAACATTCAACTTTAGGGTCTGCCAATACTATGACAAGGTGGACAAATTTTTCTTCCTTGATTTCCTGTACTCCTCATCCATCAGGTCTGTTATCCAAGGATTACAGCTTTCAAAGACTGCAAAAACATCAGTCATCTTTGGCTGAAGAATAAGACGCCGCCCTGCAGCAGGGGTCCAATTTGGAAAAAATGCACAGAGCGCTCTCTGGCGGACGAGGAAGGGAACGTTTCTTGACTTTGATGAGGAGAACTGCTTCTGGGTCTCAGATGGGAGAATAATACAATTCTGGAAAGCAACTGAGGGAGTTTCACTGGAGCTGAACATGTGTTAAGAGTAAATGCTGTTCCTGTAGGAATTAAATTCCTATTTTTTCACAATAGCCAGCGCTGTGTTAATAAAATCAAAACACTGCAGATGTATTATTACTATGTATTATTATTATTATGATTAGTCTTCAAACAACTACACTTTTGTAGCATTTTATTATATGGTTTCCCCTTAAGTTCATCATTTTGGAAGGAGCTTTGCACTGTGAATGTAAAAGTAAAATAAAACCAGAAAGTCCTGTTTTCTATCATAAGTTCCTTTTAAATTGAGCCTGTCTCACCTCAGTAAAGAGAAAACACTATAGGAGTTTCTGACAGAGCTCTGGTCCACCTGAAGCAAACTGTTCTTCTTCCTGTCAGAACTTTCCTGTGGGAAAGAAAACAGCTCATGAGTTTCACAAAGAGCCTCTTCTTACCATATGAAGAATGAAAAACCCAAGAGATATGAGTGAATTCGAGCTCTGATAGATGACAAGGTTTGAAGATGGCCTGGAATTTATTTTGGAGCCCAGTCCAAAAGTTTGAACAATACCTTCTGATCAAACTCTGCTGCATAGTAGCCATCGTTCAATCCAAAGATGATCTCATTTGAATTTCTGGAGCGAATCTGAAAGACAATAGACAGAAAGAAATGACCGTTTTGTTTGGATGTGTATTTGAACCAAAATTTACCTTGATTTCAAAAGTGTTCACTGGTCATGGAAAGCATAGGTGTGAGAGAGAGGGAGTGGGATCACAACATGACCGAAATCAAAGACTCAAACTAATTACTCACCCTCATGTAGTTTCAAACCCGTAAGACCTTTCGTTCATCTTTGGAACACAAATTAAGATATTTCTGATAGAATCTGAGAGCTGTCTGACCCTGCATAGACAGCAACGCAACTGAAATGTTCCCAAGTCCAGAGACGTAGCAAGGAGATCAGTAAAATAATCCATGTGACATCAGGGGTTCATCCGCAATTATACAAAACTACGAAAATACTTTTTGTGCGTAAAAGAAAAAAAATATTTATTCAACAATTCGTCCCCTCCGCATCACCCTGGTGCCATTTTGGAGAATATCAGCTGGATGTAAAACAACGTATGCTGTTCTGTGTCAGCTGCATCACACCGGATCTGTTTCCTACGTTGTTGTGATTTGATCTGAACGGAAACAGCGTATCCGTGTAACGCAGCTGACACAGAACAGCATACGTTGTTTACAGGGTGATGCAGAGGCGATGAATTGTTGAGTAAAGCAGTTTTTTTTTCTTTTGCGCACAAAAAGTATTCTCGTTGCTTAGTATAACTACGGTTGAACCCCTGATGTCACATGGATTATTTTACAGATCTCCTTGCTACATTTCTGGATTTGGGAACATTTCAGTTGTGTTGCTGTCTATGCAGCGTCAGACAGCGCTCAGATTCCATCAAAAATATCTTAATAGGCCCTTTCGCACCACTTTAGTTCCAGAACTAAATGTACGGTACTAAAGTACTGGTACGATTTTGTGCAAACTATTTCCCAGTACCATTTAAAGGGTTGCATTCGCACCGAGAGTGTGTACTAAGAAGTGACGTAAGCCGGTCGTCATTTGTGCACGGCGTTCAACAACAGAAACAAAGAACAACATTAACAACAAGGAGGATGGAGGACGCTGTGATCGGAGCTGTGTTTTTGTTGTGTCTCGCGGAATTCACAATAATGGATATGGAAAGTCGACGTATACGTAAAGCGATTGAAAGAACGGAAAGGAGGACTAAGAATCTCCAACGACAACTGGCGGTGCTACATTTGCTACAAATGCCTGCACTTCAGCGTCCGTCCATCTATCTATCGCTGTTCTCCATACTTGCGAATTAAGTTGACATGCTTACAGTATGTTTACACAGAGTTTTAAATCATGGCGGGTGAGGGCGTTTTCATACGCGTTTGGCCAATCAATGTCTACTTACGTCACGATTAGTACCAGTTGTGCTGGTTAGACCATGCTCTGGAGTAGGAGCTTATTTGGTTCTCGAAAAAGGCAGTCCGGTACTAAAATCGCTCCCAGTTCCGGCGGTGCGAACACGCCGAAAAGTGGGTAGTTCCACAATTAGTTCTGGTACTATGAAAAGGTTCCTGCGGTGCGAAAGGCCCTAATTTGTGTTCTGAAGATGAACGAAGGTCTTACGGGTTTGAAACGACATGAGGGTGAGTAATTAATGACAGAATTCTAATTTTTGGGTGAACTAACCCTTTAAAAACTTTTATAAGTGCTATATTTTTTATTTATAAATACTTTATTCATTTTGACAATATTTTTACTTTTTTTAAATACATTACTGTACTTTTTCTTATTTTTTTCACCCATAGAAAACTTTAGAGGACTTTGGGGGAAAACTAGATGGTCATGCTAGATTCCAACCTATACTTGATAGAGTATTAAAAAGGGAAAGCAAGAGATGCGAGTGTAAATGTATATATTTGACTCCTCACCTGTTGTCCTGTGTATCTGAGCCCATCTAGGTTGACCTTCCACTCAATAAGCAGTTGGTACTGTTCGTCCCTCCCACCCCATATTCTCACCACAAAACATGACACAGATGTGTCCAAGAGATCTGGAAGCATTGCGAAATCTAAGCTCCGCCATGTTGGGTTCTGAAAACACACAAACAAACTAAATTATGAATACAGGGTCAAATCGTCCTATTACTTCAGATACAGATATTCCCTTACTGGGCATCAATAAACTAATAACAACAAACATTCAGCCAGGATATAGGATCAAAGACAACAGCAATTTAGACTGTGAAACATATTGATTTTGTTCATAATAATGCATGAGCATGGCCTGTCATCATAGTCAATGATGCAGCAAAATGAAGCCAAGCTTTTAAAGACTGACAGCAGAAACAGATTTGCAAAACTGTGCCGTCAGTCAGTCTGGAGGCTAAAGAGGGTCGTCCTCCAAGACGATGTACAGCTGACAAAACTACCGTCATAGTGACTAGGTCAGCAGAAATAAATACAAAACAGCCATCAACATTAGGGTTGGGCGATGTCTACCAAATTGGCATCGGGCGATGTCTACCAAATTGGCATCGGACGATGTCTACAGTGAAACATTGTGATGGACGATGACATCGGGGGGCAGGGTTAGGGGTGTGCCCGAATAGTGAAACAAATAACGCGTTTTTTTACGGAGCCACTAAAATCTAATGATGTCAGCTTAACATCGTGATGTCTGTCACCCATCGGTGATGGACGATGGCATCGTCTATCGGCCCAACCCTAATCAACATGACCCCCAGAGTGGATGGAACGAAGGGATGATAACATGATTATTTCACGAAAGAGGTACAGATTGTGTCAAACAAAACAGTAGCAGTTAAACAGGTTTAAATTAGTCCTTTGAATCGATTTCAAACAGTCAAAGATACAGTGTGTCAGTCTCCAAACAGACTGAGTGTGTGATTATTTCAAAACTAACGCAATTATGATCTGCTGTAATGATGATATACATTTCCTATTTTTGCTCTAATAACCTTGAGGACAAGCAGGGAGATGCAATAAACAAAATGACAGACCACCCGCCATGATATTACACTTAATTAAATGAACATCGATTTGTAAATGTAATAATAAACAACTACATTCAATAGAGCTCTGCCTACTTCATGAATAGAAAGAAAAGCCCGCCCAGAATAAAAGAACAGGCCTCCAGCTATAAACTTGTCTTTATGGGTGCGTCATTTCATCTGAAAACACACTAATAAACACAGCATTCATAGCCTATAATACTTCAAATCATCACCATCATTATTAAAATGTTCCTTACAGTCTGGATAAAGAACTGAGTCTTTAATCGTGTTTGTATAAATCACATTACTGATGATCGCATGCTTTTATGTATTGTGCTGTCATTCTCTTCACACTTTAGCAGTTGCTATGCGTCAATGTTTTTCAGCAGAATTACAGGCTTGGACAGAGTGACCACATGGTCATTAAACCGCTTTCCATTGACGGGAGAAACATCCGTTTGAGAGGCTCAGAGGCCCACTTGGTGTATTAAAATAAAGAGATTGTTTCAAAAGTGAAAGGTTGCTGGTGCGACCCCAAAAATCCAATTTAACAAACCTGTTTTATATCAGTAAATGGAGCTGTATCAATGCCTTTTATGTGTAGGTGAGAGGGTAGACCTGCCATATGTGTAAAGATGAAGTCCTGATGCTTTTGGTTTTGAGGAGAACATTGAAACAGTATTGCCTTTTTACATACACTGCCAGGTCAGTTCTAGGTCAGTCTTTTTTTTAACATTATTAAAACTCTTATCATGGCTAAAAAGTATAATTATATGGTACCTACTGATGCCTTCAGCAAAAAATAAAGGTGAAGTGTGTAATTTCTGAACTGCTAGTCCCAGAAATTATGACTGCTTTCAAAAAGGTTTCCCCACACGCTTCCCCATCTGCCATTGGTTTGTCAAACAGATAGTTCCGCCCCCAAACTCACACCATTGGTTGAGCCACTGCTGCTGTTGTCAGGCAGACTCTGCATGCAACCACAAAGTCACAGTATTCACAGTTTCTTTTTGCATTTTAGCATAACAAAATTACACACCTCCCCTTTAAGGGACAATATTTTAATCAACTTACAAAAAAAACACAACCACAAATATTAACAAATAAGATAAAATGACAAAAAGACTCTAAAAACTGTTTGAAGATCCTATTTATTTTTAGTGGTTTCACAGCAATAAATTAACTATGGAAACTGTGGTTCCCGTGGTAAATCTTTCAGCAGTCCTGTAAGATTTAACTCAGATTCAGGACATTTGTGATTAAATTAAAAGAAATTTAAATTTTTCTTTTCTGACAGCAGAACATAAATCCAGAGGGGACAATGCTGATACCCAACGCTATATCATGTTACACAACACCACGCTGCTAAGCTATGATATGCTTTGCTCCATCTTTTGTTTCAGATTTTAGAATAACAGAGATTAAATCGCATGACCAAACACCAATGAAAACAATAGCACTCACCAATGAGTCTCGGATGACTTCACTCTTATAAAAATCTGGAAAAGGAAAAGAGAAGGTTAGAAGTCATTCAAAAGCTTTTAAATTCAATGTGACTTACAGGATACACCAGCATACAAAAGTTTAGGGTCAGTAAGTTTTTGTTTGTTAGGAAATGAATACGTTTATTCAGCAAGGATGCATTAATTTGATCAAAAGTAACAGCAAAGACATTTATAATGTTACAAAAGATTTCCGTTTCAAATAAATGCTGTTCATTCTATACTTTATATCCATCAAAGAGTTTCCACATAAATATTAAGCAGCACAATTGTTTTCAACATAGAGAAAAATAAGAAATGTTTCTTGAGCACCAAATCAGCATATTAGAATGATTTCTAAAGAATCGTGTGACACTGAAGACTAGAGTAATGTCTGCTGAAATTTCAGCTTCGTATCACAGAAGTAATTGCATTTTATACCAAAGCAGAAAACAGTCATTTTAATTTTTAATTACAGTTCAAATTTGCTTTGCTTTGCTTTACTACTTCGTAGTAATAGAGTGTGTTGACTGAAATAAGTTTGTATGAATAAAGTTTTTGTTTTTGGAGAATCATAATATCTCTTATCTGTTGTATTTGAGCAGGACAGGGATGCACTTCGGTGACACATAAAACAAATTCCCAACATTGTGTCTTTTGTCTTTCCATCATGTTTGATGTGCTTGCAGATCACAAGCATTTCCTAATTTCACTTCAGAATTTTTTGTTATATTTAATCTTTTGTTGTATTTTTTATACTGTTATCATTTGTAAAGTATATATATATATATATATTTACTTTCCTTTACCAAATTTACTTTGTTTTCATATTTGGCAACTTTTTGTGAAAAACTGAGACTTTTGAGGGTGGTTCTAGAGATTTTTAGGGGTGATTAGGGAGGGGTTTGGCAACACTGGTTACTTTCTGTTTTTTCTTGGTGTAACTGGTGACACAGAAATTACACACTGCAGTGTAATTAATAAATTAAGTGAACAATCAGAGTGTAGCAGCCAGTTCAGCTGGCATCAGTCACCTCGTGATATCCGATCTTCCTGGCAGAGGTGAAGGGTGAAGTAAGTGTCAAGCAGAGGAGAGCCATTCTTGTTCACAATGTTACGGGCTGCTATGCTCCGCAAGTGACGTAAACGCCTCTGTCAGGACAAAGAAAGAAAGACAGTTCATGAGAGAGAAAAGAGCAATGGACAAAGTTGATATTAGCATTTTAAGGATGCCATTTAACATCACTAATACTTTAATTTCATAATCTGTACATTAACACTTTCAAGCAATCAAGCATAATCAGTCAAAATGTTCATACTTTTATGTGAAAAAACATACAGTATAATCTTTCATTCACAAGCAGCGAGTTTACGATGGCTTTTGTCAATGTACTTTGAGCGGTCAATGGAAATCATCGTAACATTTCTCAGAGTTCAACTCACTGATATCAAGTCTCCCATTTACTGGATCACGCATGCGATAAAATCGGAATGTTTCACAATTCTACACTTTTTTTAATCACAAGCAAATGACAGTGAACAGGAACAGACCAACACACAGACACAAAACATCATTGTGAGTCTCACGTCACGTCACTACAACGCCAAGTCCTCCACCCTGACCAAAACATGACATCACTGCCGCACATCGGGCACAAATCCACCGCTTTGAAGGAGCCAAGGGAAAAAGGAATTGGTAGGCATGGAAAGGTTTACCATAATAAGAGCTTTTGTAGGTTAAAAAGGAGGAAAAAACAAGAAAGAGACCCTATAAAACAGGTCTACGATGTGACCACAGAAAGGATGTTACATAAATAAGTAGTCCACTAATTGGTCTTACAGAGGCCTTGTGTAATTTGACATGCTTCAGGTTCACCTGACCATGAATGTGAACATTTCTTTGGTGGCGTTTACATAAAACAGCTAGATGAAACATAATAGAATGAAACCGAATGCAGGGGTCTCAAGATGTGCTTCTAAAACTTCAACTTGACCCAGTATCTTAAAAGAATAGCTGCTAATGGCACAAGACACTGAAAAAACACAACATGATGAGTCCCAAACACTCAAATAATTATGCAACCACCATGTTTTAGTAATTAAAAACTGGTTAGACTGACTTAAGGATGCATTCTGCAAAAATCACTCCTTACTGTTAAAACTGATCCTAACCTACAAAACATGGAGATGGAGAGAAACTCCAGAATTACCATTCACAATGGCTGGATTTAAAGGGTTAGTTCAGCCAAAAATCTAAATTCTGTCATTAATTACTCACCCTCATGTCGTTCCAAACCCGTAAGACCTTCGTTCATCTTCAGAACACAAAGTAAGATATCAAGGACTGACATGGAAGAGAAGAAATTGTTGAGTAGAGTTGTTATTTTTGTTTTCTTTGAGCATAAAAAGTATTCTCGTAGCTTCATTAAATTACGGTTGAACCATGGATGTCACATGGCCTATTTTAATGATGTCCTTACTACCTTTCTGGGCCTTGAATGTGGTAGTTGCATTCCTGTCTATGCTGGGTCAGAAACCTCTCGGATTTCATCAAAAATATCTTAATTTGTGTCCCGAAGATGAGCGGATGTCTTACGGGTTTGGAACAACATGAGGGTGAGTAATTAATGACAGAATTTTCATTTTTGGTTGAACTATGCCTTTAAGGCACAGGGCCACAACCATTTTTATGAAACATTTAATCTGAGAGTTCAGCACATTAAAGTCTTCACCTGACCCGCTTTCATCACAACCAGCCACAGAGAATTTCCAGCACCACCCGTGAGGCATTAAATACTAAATCTAAGTCATGGGATGCCCCACAGGATTATTTAAGCTACAGGAACAACACCACACTTTGTTCAGTTTTCCCCCATTTCTGTCTTGTTTCAGACAACAAAACACTGAGGAACATCTAGGGTCCCAGTCTTGTCCCAGACTCTGACATGCAGAAGTTCAGTGGTACAATTTAATAGGTTAACAGGCTACTTAACTAGCACAGGAACAAACAAGCTAGTGTATGATCAACTTTCCCTTATTAGGCTATTCACAGCTGTTTCAAACAGCTTAATGAAACCGAAACACCAAATCAAGCATGACTTAATGCTGAAGTTGATGAATTGCATCACACTGAATAGCAACGCTCTTCTGCTGCACAACAAATGACCGGCGTTCAAGGGTGTGACAGAGGTCATCTGTAGTCCATAACAGTGGGCCTTTAGGACTTTGCCTCAAGAGTCACAAGTGACTGGTGTGAGTGCCAAAGCAATTGGTGTCATAACAACCATTTCCCGTAAAATAAAATTCAGACAGGTGCGACAAGCTCTGACAAGCCACTATCACGAGACAGTGACTTCACATTTAGTTTCATATTTCAGTTTTTGAGAACAGTGCTTTCCGTTTTTAACAACAGCAAAAAAAAAATAGAACAGTAGATGACTAGTATCATAAGAGAAAACATTTCTAATAAAAAATTGCAATTGAAACTTAAAATGCGATTTAAAAAAGCTCCAGATTGGCAGTGCTTGTTTGGCCAAAAGTTTTTACATTATATATCAATATGACTATAAAACAATTATTATTATTAAAAATAAATAATAATTATTAGAATTATTACAGACGATTATTAGTACTACTATACTACTATTAAACTGCATTATAAAAAAAAAAAAAGAAATATTGCTATTTTAATATTTCCCTGTAAAATAAAAAAAGAGCATTTAAGGTAAAACAATATATTAAAAATGATTATTTTATTGTGCAGTACAACTATAAAAATAACAATACAAATAGTCTTAATTTTTTTCATTTTAACCAAGTTTTTTTGGCAGAAAAATGCAGGGAGACCTTAAAGCTTCTCTTTTGTTGACAACAGCTAGTTTATAAGTACTTTTAATTGCAGGTTTGGGAAGGCGGTAGGTGCATGTTGTATTTGATCATCGCAATAAGTAATATTGCAATTTTAATTTGATTTTGATAAGCCCTACATAAAACCCTTGAAACATACAGATATTACAAGCATTGGTATAAACTGCAGCATTGGAATATACTACTGGCAACACTCCCATGAAAACATTTTTTTAACTTAAATTAAAAATGATTTATTATATTATATTATATTATAAATCTGGTTTGGTTATACCTGCAAAAAAAACACTCTTTGCTTAAAGCCATGACACAAAATGTTTGCAGCATTAAGTAATGCAACATTTCCCCGCACAGAATGCCAAGTCATCAACAGACACTGCTTAACAGGAAAACCTGCGATCCCAAAACACTTCCCAGGAACCAGTGATGTGATTAAACAGACGATCGCTGCAGGACATGACTATCATTCCACATAACTGAGATCTACACTCAGATTCAGGGCATGTATGAGTGCTGTGTGGATTGCAACACTGCAATTGTTACAACACACACAATCACAGCTACTCTCTAATGGCAATCTCAAGCATTACATCAACAATACACAATATCCAATTTTTGCCTGAAATAAATGTGAATTTTTTTTATTATTATTAAACACACAAAAATAATATAAACACAAATATAACAATACTGTTTTCTGGATGACAAACCATATAAATATCAACGACTAAACTCTAACAAGAAACCAAGTGAATCAAACATTAATAACTAAGGTCTTTCTTTGTAGACCCCCAAAACAATGTGTGCCAATCTTAAAGTATGACATCATTTATAGTCATTTAAGTCAGTGCTGTCAAAAAGCTGCAGTTCAGCACAGCTCACTCTATAAGACAGCAACACTACTACCTTCCTAGCCATTTCCAAGGTCTTTGAAGCATGTGTAATACATATTAGGATGCTGTCTGTCTGGTCTATTTTGTATTTGTGTTGGAGTTTGGAGACCCACCGTGACAAGACAGCCAGACACTCACTGTATAACCGGTCTAATATATTTAATAAACAAGCCAGCGCTTTATTATTAACAACGTCTTAATTATTACTTCTCATATTTCTATTTCAAACTCCACTGCATTCATAAACGCTGACCAGAGCTTAATTGGACATGGAGGCCCGCTGATATGTGACACACACACACAAGCAGATCCGCTAGACATTCACTCACTATAACCAGGCACAATGGATCATGTGGCTGGATGCAGCAGGTGTACCTGTTGTGATGTGAGCTCCACATGCAGGACTCTGGAGGATGCTGCTCCGGGGGTGCTGCTGACAGCTCCAGCGGACACTGCGAGATCCCGACCGGCGGTGGAGTTCATCCTTCTACGGTACCACAGGCGATCGCCTCATTCAGCCGTACAACTCAGCCCCATCGGCGAGAAACTCCCGCTCACGAAGGTGTCAGTTTCCGAACTTTCTTCGCAAACGTGCAGATCTGTAATTCAACGGACACTGAGCCCGCTAAACGCTGCTACTGGAGTCCTGACGGCGGCATAAACAAAGTAAGTCTTGCCTAGGAAGCCATTACCGCGACCTTGATCGGCAAACCCTCGCATGATGCCTATTGGCTGAGGAAGCTGTCATTAAAATAGATGTTTGGTGACGTAGATGGATATTCTGAGTTGATTGGTGGACAGCTTGTCAATCAAAAGGAAAAGGGCGGGAGGAGGCCTTTAGAAACTCATGCTGCGCTCTGTGTTCCTACAAATATGAGGAAGTGAGGGGCCGTGTTTGAGTACCGTGATCTCAACGGGCGGAGTGCTGAATGAAAACCGTTTGTTCTCCCGTTAAACGCAATATCGGGGTGAGCAATGCACTGATACGAGCATAAAATCTATAATGTGCAATATGTTGGCAAACTGGTATGGTTCTTGTACATATAAAACGACAAAAGTACAGTTCACTAAATAAAGAGTTTTTTGTAAATGTTTACAAAATTAATGAATCAGTTTGTAACAATCAATTATTATTATTATTATTAAATAAAAAGTATGCATGAAGCACAAGAGGGCCCCATTGCCAAACTTTACTAATAATAAGTCAACTGTCTTGAAAACCTTGTTGTTCCTGATTTAAAAAATATATACATAACATAATATACATAATATATACAATGAACCACTGACCATATATTATTTAAACTTTTTAGATCAAATAAATTTAAGGGATTTTGTAAAACATGGAGTGACCTAGTTATTTTTGGGCTATTTAAAATAACTCATAACTATTTTATTTTATTGATTTTATTTTTTTTATTTTATATATATATATATATATATATATATATATACTGTATGTATATAATTTAAAAATCTACATAAACATAAAGCTACATGTAGATCATTTTAAATACATTAAGTTGAAGAATTTTACATTTGTGAAAGAAATATTCTAACATAATACACAATTAGTGACCTACGTACAGTAAATAAATCTATATCTCTCAGCCATGTGCCCCACCTCACTAATATAAGCCAATCAATTAAGAGGTCCCAGTTACACTTTTGTGCCAAAATGAGGATCCACCTTAGTTCCTGGGCCCCAAAAATGTATTTTTGCTCAGTATAGTTCAGTGTTTAGTTGCTTTGTTTATGTCTATACGGTGCATGCTACTGTGATAAATCCTATAACAAAGATATTCTCAAAGATATACTGGATTTTTCTGTGAATGTGAATTACAACGTGTTATTTGATTTATCAAAGGCATATTTGAGTTTATACGAAAATAAATCTTCAGCGTTTACTATGCTTTATTTGTTCAGAGAATACTGATTTTTTTTTAAATATATTGATTCATTTAAAGAATATCTCACATGGCCTGTGGACATTGGACTAATAATCTGGAACTGTTGCATAAATCTCTAATAAAAAAAAAAATTTTTAAACTAAGGCTGGGTTTAAAGACAGGAATAGGTGAACATATGCTGTTATGTGTCAAGGACAGTGTTGTGGTTCAAAACAGGACAGACATAGAACTTTTCCATAAACGTTTATTCTGAAAATATATAAAAGTTTACTTTAAAGAATCAGGATTTCATAGACATCAATGACAACTGATATCAGAGATGGACACTGCAGCATTTATTGCATATTCAAAACTTAAAAGGCAATTAGTCAAAACTGTGAATCTTTGGTTAAATGTCAGCATGTAAATGCTTATTATCCACCAATGAAGTGTGTCCCCTGAATCCATTAAATTAACAATCACAGTAAAAACTTTAATATCTCAAGTTAAAAATGTTAGCATAAATACATTTCGGCACTTGAATTGAAGTTATGCTATTCAAAAAAAATGTATTTGATTTGGCATGCAAACACATGTTTGAGGTCTCTCCAGCATGATTGCCTGATACTTGTAACTGGGATGAAATGTTGATGTCAAATAACATGCTGAAAATTGAACTTATCTGAAGGCTGCAATATTAGTAGCTTGTAAACTATGAGCTCAACAAAGCATGTGCAACTTATACATGCAGTATTAATACTTCTGTGGTAAATTATCAGTTATGTTGCAAAAAGAAAAATGACCAGCATTCCGATAATACTATCACACATTAACACATATTCATTATAATCTTCACCTTCTGGACTTCACTTTTACCTTCGATCTATGATCATATAGGATAATTTTTCTTAAAAGCAAAATACCCTGTCATATTTACTTTTGTTCCAACTTATTCCAACAAATGAATCACACTTTTGCTTCACCTCCACTCTTTGGTTACACAACCACTCTGTGATTTTTAGTGAAGCAAAACTCACAATACTTGCATTGCTTGTGCAGTAAAATAATATAATGGGGGCAAACAAAATGTGCTTTTATATAGTACAGCATTTAAATTAAACCTTAAATACATTACTTGTAAATATATTGCCATATATTGAGGAATATACGTCCACCAGCTGTGAAATCTAGATTATACTTGGTGTAGCAATCGGTGTAGTATTTATTGCATAATGCCACCCAGTGGCAATAAGCAGAAGTGACACAGGCTATTCACTGTACAGTTGTACACCAAGTACTGTTTACTCTATTGAATGAGTAGAAACAGCATTGATTTCTTTCACCTTCTCTGAACAGGCACTTTAGTTGGGAGGCAGATGTTCCAGAGTGTTCTTTTATACAGTTATTATTCCTCAATGCTGCCTTTCACTGAATTTGAAGGGTGTCACTTTCATTTAGACCAAAACGGGTCTTGTAATTGTCAAAGAGAGACTTGAGGGACCTGATGTACATGGCGTGGTACATGTCTATGACGTCCTGGCTCGGCTCCTCGATTTTTGGAACTGTGATGGGTTCACCAACTGTAGAAAAAAGAAACATTAAAACAAATCATTCACAGAGCATTCAACTCGAGTTAAACCAAAATCATGTCAACAAATTACTCAATTTTAACCATTAATGTGGTTCTGATGTCAGCAAATATCGACCGTAAACTGAAAGAGCAGTTCTATCAACATGGAGACTGTCCTTGAACTGTATTTAACTATTTGTAGGTAGTTTCATTATAACCCATGTAAAACAGCTTTCTGTTTTGTGCCAGTTTAAAGCTAGTAGGATTCAAAACACATATATAGGATTTAAACGTTATAAATATGAAACCTGTAAATAAAACAATATAAAGTTTGAGTATACAATATTTTAAATACAACTCACCAACAGTAGTGATGGGTTTGCAATATGGTACAAGACCCCAGGACTCAGGGAAGAACAGTCCACAACCATGAAACAGGCATGGGGCAAAGCCTAAAATCTTCTGAAGCCTCTTCTGAATCGTGCGCCACCAAGAATCATCGCCAAAAATCAGCTGTTTGTAAACCTCATTCTCACCAAACGAGTAGACGGGCACCAGATCAGCACTGAGAGGGGAACAGGAAGTTAAAAGTTATAAAAATGACAAAGAAAGACATATTTTAAAATACAAAGAGAATCTGCAATGGTTAATTTCACACTGTTTCAGTGTAATTTTGTCATACAATTTTGTATTTGCACTTTAGGAACTTGTTCAAAAGTGCTTTTTTATCCTATAAGCTTCTATGCGATTTGAATAGTTGAGGATTTTCTCATTACTATTGCTTTGTAATGATGTAGCTTAATTCAGAGCAAATATTTTGGCTGAGTTTTTGTTGTTTCTCCACATTTCTGATCACAAAATACTGGCTTAATAGGCTTCACTCCAAACTGCTTTGTTAACCCAACAAGGGCTTATTTCTGAAGGCTTTGTGTTTCTTCACCTGCAATAACCCTGCCATTTACTGCTTGTCAAGAGAACCTGAATCAGAGGTGACAGCACTTCAAGAAAAACTCAAGCTGCTTCTACCAGCTAACATAAACCAGCACAATGAACTTTATTGAATTGTTTTGTGGAACATTGCAGTTCTCACCCTTGCTTGAGGGCCAGCTTCACAAAGCCTTTGCGGTTTTTCAGCGTGACAGAGTTCATTCCTGGGGTGCAGTCCAGAGACTCTGCAGCCCCTCCGATCACGATGACCACAGCGTTGCCTGTACCGTTACTAGACAGGAGGTAGTCAATGGAGTTACGGTTTACTGGGCAGATACCTGAGAAACAGAAGGGTATAGAGTCTTATACCAGGCTTTCCCAAACTGGGGTTTGTGAAGGAACTGCAGGGGGTTCTTGAGTTTATGAAAAGCTAAACAAATCAAAGAAATGTACTATTTAATTAGCCTAAATGAATCATTTTCAAATAAAAACAATTAATACAATAACACACTTAATAAAAAAAAATTTAATATTGCAATTAATCAACATCACAGAAACATAAACATGCAAATGTGTTGTTAACTTACTGAAATAAAAACCTAAAGTCTGTGCTTGGTATATTGCGTTGTTCAATATGTAAATGAGATGTTGCGTCTGTGTTCCTTAATTTGCGCGTTGTTAGTAAATCACCCACAGAAATTTCCACGCCCATTGGCGCTGTTTTGGAATCGCGCTTACATGCCTTGTTTAGTATAACTGGCCCTTGGTCTACGACTACGACTGGCATTCCTCATTTCTTATTCCTACGAAAATTAACCATGGTTTTATTATAGCTAGTAAAAGTGTAGAACCCATGTTTTTTGCGGATTAATTACCATTTGTATAACCACAGATTTACTACAAATACAATGGATAAACTATGGTTATTGTAGCATGGTTTAACTATATTAACCATGGTTTTTATTTGTAGTAAACCCATGATTAATTTTTGTACAGGTTGTGAACCGATTTCATAAAAAAAATACTGTTTGGTTCCATTAATGGCTCTCACATGTGCTTTTTGAAAAATACTGTTCGGTTCCATTAACAGTCCCCGCACATGCTTATATACGTCAATGAGCATGCATGAGAATACCGAATACTAGCAATATTTATTCAGCAGTGCAGAAACACTACTACTAATCTACAGCGCAGATCAGTCAGCGAGACCAATGTAATCCCATTGATGAGTGAAGTTTATTATATTATATTATATTATATTATTGGAATTTTTGAGGAAATATTTGTTTGACATTTTTTAAGAAACTACACTCTAAAAAATGCTGGGTTCTT